TGTGTGTGTGTGTGTGTGTGCAGGTTGGCAGGAGCGCCAGGCCAGGGCGCCAGGCAACGCTACAGGCCTCGACGGCCGCAAATCGCCGTCATCAGTAAGCCGTGACCTCTTCGGGTCAGGCCACGCCCTCACCTTGACAGGGCCAAAGTCGTTTGGGTTCAGCGGCCGCACGCTGAGCGGTCCGCAGGGCAGAGCCGCCGAGTCCGAGCCGAGCGCCGCCTCCGCCAACGCCCCCGCGCAGCCGGGCAGCGGCTCGCCAGCGGCCAGCATGGCCCGGCCCCGCCCGCCGCCACCGCCTCCGGCTCGCGAACAGGGAGGCTTGAGCCGGGATCACTAAGGCAGGCCTGCAGGCGTGGAAGGCAGGGTCGCTGCAACCACCGTGTAAGCCCGTGTGAGATCAACGGCGCCAGAGCGCCGAGAGCCCACTGCGCGACGTGCGCGCTGCAGTGTTGCGCCTCACTGCGCAGTCTGTGCCCGTCCTGTCCTGTGTCGCCGCACGTTGGTGCTGATCTTTTCTGGCTACGATGCGACTCAGTTGCTTGCAGTTCTTCCGCAACCAAAGAGCAGTCGCGCGAGTGCGTGCGTGATGGCCTCGACAAGCTGAATAGCACGCATGCCTGTCTGAAATGCAGAGATGGCGGGATTAGGATGTGCAAGGAGCTTGCTGGGGTGACCAGTTGCCAGCTGCACATCAGCTACACTCTACCCCATTGCTGGCCTGGTGCTCCTCCCGCCCAGCCTCGCGATGCACAGCAGGTTGCCATAAACGTGCGATATGCACGTGCTGCCGTAGTGCCTCATATGCGCATGGCTCCCGTGTCCAGAGACCAACTTCCTTGTGCCGTGCTGAACATGACAACCAGCCGGACGCAGCTTAGAGGGACGTGCACACGCCCTGGCCCATGTGCACTCGCACTCCCTCGCCCATGCACGCGCCTGCACTCGTTCCCGCGCGCGCATGCGCGCTTGCACGCGCGCACACACACACGCACACACGCACACACTCTCAAACACACACACACACGCACACACGCACACACGCTCACTCACGCACTCACTCACTCACTCACTCACACACACACACACACGCAACACATACTGCTTGAAACTCTATGATTGAAAAGTATTGATTGCGACATCTGGATGTCAGTCATGCTGTGGCTGCGTAGCACACCCCTCACACTGCATCCTTGCTTTTGCCTGCCTCGAAAAGAACAGGGTGCGTGTCAGTCAATCCTGGGGCCGCAGTGCGCGCCCTCACATGCTACGTGCCTCACAAGAGCCGACGCCACCACTGCTGGTTCAAACCCCCTTTGTACTGGTATTGCAAATTGCGTGTGCTGCAGGTCTCAGGGTGGGTGTTGAGTGACCAGGCCCCTCACAACCGCACACTCCCTGCTGGCTGGACTCTCCCACAAGGTGCGAGACTGCGAGTATTTGCTGGTGGGGCAGCGGGGAAACGGGCAGTTGCCCTGACCCCCGCGCCCGTCCTTAAAACTTACTGGGTGCCCAGCGCCCGGTCCACTCTACTCCAATTGCTGGCCGCTGCCGGCCAGCAGGGTCGAGCCATCACTCCCGGAAACCCTTATGATCCCACCGAGCACACCTTTTTCCCCGGCAGGAGCCCGCCGTGGACACCCACACACGCCACAGCATTCACGCACTTTGCCACTTCGCCGCACGATACTTTTGACCCCAGTAACACCGGCTCAGGACGCGTCGTGCTGCCCCGAACGACCTGCCGCCTACCGCGCAGGTGATTCAGTGTATCGAGGGGTACCGGTGGCACGGGTATGGGCGGGATACCCCAATCGCTTTGAGCACACTGCTGCTTGCCACACCTGCCGTGTGCGGTGTCTACGGTGGTGACCACTCTACCCCTCGGTAATCGAACCTTCGTCAATGCATGCATGATACGACGATTTTTACACAGTCGCGGGCGTGCACTGCGCATCTGGCTTCACATGTGTGCTGGGTTGCCAACATTGGGTCGCTGCTCGCTACGAGTGCCGCTCACAGTCACTAGCCCACCACGGCGGTCAAAGCAGTACACGGCACAGCGCTGTACCAAGCGTGATTGCAATTAGGGCCTGCAAATATTGACTCAAGAGCCTTGCATCACCAGGTGGCCCTCCTATCGCCTACGGTGGCGCGCGAGCCCAAGCTCCGCGGTCAGCGAACCTTGGGGTGGCCCGGCTTGTATCAATTATCTTAATGTCGGGTCAAAAGGGTTTCGCCTCAGGGGCGGCCGGCGAAGGCGCCAATGCCGATCATGAGGCGAGGGGATCCGCAGGTCTCCACCACCGCGGTGGCCTCAGCTCCAACGGAGAATCTAAGGGAGCCAACGCCGATGTCAAAATTGCGTTGGGCGTGGAGACGCCCGCCGCAGTGGCTGCGGGCAAGGATGTCGATGGCGCGGCGGCAGCAAACGCACCAGTGGCCATCGTCGAGCACGTGACGTATGTGGACATCGCCAAGCAGTTCTCCCTGCTGGGATGGACCGCTTTTGGCGGCCCTGCTGCCCACATCGGCATCATGCAGCGGGTGAGCGAGCCCCTTTTGGGGGGTGTCACACATCGGGATGTGGGATGCCTGTCGGCTGCGCACTTTCACGCCCTCCCAGCGCCTCACGCCCCGCGGGCCTCTAGACTGAAGCCCTCATTTCGAACCAGCACCCCTGTACTCAAGTCTCTACGCTTGAACCCTGGCAGAGTTGTGGCGGGTGTGTCTTCCATCCTCAGACGCCCCTGAGTGAGCTCGGCACTGACAGCAGCAGGGCCAGTCCGCCACGTGCGCTCACAGTCCTGGACCCTCCCTCCACCCCGGCTCCCCCACGCATTTCCCCGCAGCGCCTGGTGGACAAGTTGCACTGGATGAGCACCGAAATCTACGCAGAGCTGTTTGCGCTGTGTCAGTGCATGCCAGGGCCGGCGTCCACTCAGCTATCCTTCTCGATCGGCATCATCAAAAGGGGCGTGCCAGGTGCGGGGCGCGCGGAGCTGGTGTGTGAGCATGGGTCGTTTGCGTTTGTGCAGGTGCCCACCGGTACACCTGTGTTCTGATGTGCGGAAAGGCTGCGTATGTGTGTCTGTTTTGGTGTGTGTGCGCGTGAATGGAGCGGTTGAGCACATGGGTGTGTGCGCGCAGGCGCATACGCACGCAAGCAAACCTTTCAGCTCTTGCGTTAGCAAGCAGGCTCAGGTGCAAACCGCGCAGCCCACCGGGCCCGCTGGCGGCATAACTCCGTTTGTCCCAGGCGCTCGCTGCGGCCGCGGCCGCGTGCGCTCAGCCCGGCTGCACGCCCCAATCAAGCCCTGCCATGCGGTGTCCCTCGCCGCCGGCCCCCCGCCCCCGCGCCGGCCGGTCGGTATGTGGGTCGCCAAGTGCCACCACCCCACCGCTGCAAACTCATGCACCCCTGCACCCGTGCGCGGCCGCAGGCGGCCTGATCTCCGGCATCTTGTTCCAGTACCCCGGGGCCTTCATCATGACGGCGGTCGGCGTGTTTGCTGCCAAGTACCTGGAGAACCCCCAGGGCGTGCTCAGCGGCCTCACCGCCGGTGAGAGGGGGCGCTCCTCACGGTGGATTGTGATCGTCATAGCTGATCGATACGCTGCCCTTGGGGAAGTGCGTGGATGGCGGGTCGAGGCGTTTTTCAGCACAGCAGTGCTGGACACATGAAGGCTGCCCGCCGCGCGGCGCGGACTGCGCCCGCGTCCCGCATCCACCGACGCGGCCGGCCACGCGGCCCCCTCCCGCCCCGCCCCTCAGGCGTCTCGGCCGTCGGTGTGGCTATGGTCGCGTCCGCCGCCAAGGCCATGGCCGGCAAGCTCTGTGCCGGCTGGCTGCGCTCCGGCATCTGCACCGCCGCCGTCGTGCTGGCCTACTACTGGCCTCAGGCGTACACGTTCCCCGCCGTCATCATCGCCGGCGGTCTGCTCACGCTGGCCTGGTCCTGGTTCCGCAAGGAGCCCGTGCCGCAGAACCTGGTGAGCAACCGCGGACCGCGTGGGGAGCCGGGGACTGCTCATCTGCCTGCGTGCCTGCCTGCCTGCCTGCCTGCCTGGCTACCTGCCTGCCTGCCTGCCTGCTGGCCGGCCGCCGGCTCCGCTGCCTGACTGCCTTGTCTTAGCCATCTGCAGCAGAGCGGTTTGACCGATTTGAAGCCTCACGTATTGTGTGGTCAAACTTGCGGTGCATTTGTTCCCTGATCACTCGCACCCGCCACCCTAACAACAGGTCGACGATGAGTCGATCCGCAGTCACGGGCTCAACAAGGTGCAGGGCGGCCTCACGCTGGCACTCTGGGTGGCTGTGCTGATCGTGTCCATCGCGGTGGTGCGCTCGCTGCCGTCGCCGCCGCTGCTGCTCAAGTGGTGGGAGGCGTTCTACCGCATCGGCAGCATCATCTATGGCGGCGGCCAGGTGGGCTGGGGGCGGCGCCGCGCATGCCAGCGGACAGGCATGCCAAGGGGCGCGCGCGGCCGCGCGTCGAGCGTGGCGCATCATCCGCGACCCATCCGGAGGAGGCTCGCAGCGTCGGCTGGCTGGCGGCCCATTTACAGTGTCCGTGACCCCTTGGTCGCTCAACGTCTCGCACCTCTCACTCCTCGCGTTCCGAGGCATTTGCATCAACAGCCGGACACCCTTGCCCCTCTCCCCCCTGTCCCCCAGGTCGTCCTGCCCATGCTCTACACAGAGGTCGTGCAGCAGAACTGCGACGCCAGGACCCTCGTCTGTACCGACCGCCCCGACACCTGGGTCACCTCCAAGCAGTTCTACGCCGGCCTCGGCATCGTGCAGGCGCTGCCCGGCCCGCTCTTCAACTTTTCCGCCTACCTTGGGGCGATCATGGCGATCAACTCGGGGCACGTGTTTATAGTGGGCACGCTGCTGGCCTGGTTCGGCCTGTTCATGCCCGGCATCCTGGTGGGTGGTTGGCGCGCACACATGCACACACACACACACGCACACACACATACACACACTCCTGAATTCGCGACATCCTGGGTAGGGGTGAGGAACGGGGGCAGATGTACCAGGCGGTACCATGTGTGCTTCGCTCTCTGGCTGCGTACGCCCTGCACACGTTGCGAAGCACTCCCCTCGCCGCGCACGAGCGCCGCCCGGCATCCGAGCGTGTCACTCCTCATGCCTGCACCCTACACACGCACACCACGCCCGTCCTGCTTCCCCCTCCTCAGATCATCTTCGGCATCATGCCGTTCTGGGGCACCTTCCGCAACTGGGCGGTGTACAAGCGCGCACTGCCCGGTTTTAACGCCGCCGGCGTGGGCCTGATCATCACATCCGTCTTCTCCCTCACGCTCGGCGCCCTGCAGGTGGGTCTGGTCGGCCCAGTCATGCTGAGGGTTTACTTTCGGTTGGCAGCTCCACTCGGGCCCTTTGCCAACCTGTTCGTCTTCCACACATCGGACCGCCCTCCGATACCACCCACATACACCCACGAGTCTGCCCGATCCGACCGTGTGCCCTGCAGGTGAGCCCCTTCCCGAGCACGTCCCTGTGCCTGGGCATCATCGCTTTCACAGCGGTGGACCAGCTCAAGCTCTTCGAGCCGGGGGTCGTCATTGTCGGCGGCCTGCTGGGCATGGCTGCCGGCGCCCTGCACATGAAGTAGACTGCGCGACACCTGGCGGCGTGGGCATCCCTGCTACTTGCGGCATGACTGGCTGTTTGGGGGGCGGCGCCGGCCGGGCTGCCGGAAGGACCCATCGGTTTGCGTGGGGGACAAGCATTTGCCTGAGCGAGCGTTGAGAGACCCTGATTTGGCCGGAAATGAAGGATCTATCGGAGCTTGAAACACAAACAGCAACCAGCGCAAGTCGAGTTGCTTCTAACAAATCTGTTGAGGATACCCTGCATCCCGCTCGCCGGAGTTACGCGCCGTCCAGCGTGCTCGCTTGCCGGCCCTTGCACCCGTTGGCAACCCCCGGCACGCGTGATGCCGTGCATTTGCAACAACGTTCTTGCTGGCAGCACGTGAGCATTGGCTCAGGTTGTGCGCCCCCTTGCTACTTCATCTCAAATAGGCTTGCGGCCTGGTTTCGCCCACAGCACCTGCACCACCATGAGAGCATTGCTCAAGCACGCGCAATTCGCGTCAGTGTTGACCCTCCGCTCGACAAATATTGTAATCGCAGTGTCCTCAGCGCCCGCAAGGTCAGCTGGCTGGATGTTCGCTTCAAACAAGCGAACAATGCTGCTGAACGGTGCCGCACCCAAACGGCAGGTTGCTGGTGGCAGCACATCGACACGGCGTCACAGGCGTTTGGCCTGCAACCGTGCCGCCCATATGTGCTGCACCGGCTGCAGCAAGCTGGTACTTTTACGGTAAACGTCCACTAGAACGACGTGCATTTGCGTCACAGCTGTGCAGGCCTTGATGAGAGTGCGCCACACCCAAGCGAATCAAGGGGAGCCATCTCATCCTGACACAGAATCAACGGGCGCGTTTTGCGATTTTACGATTGATTGTACGCACCATCTTTGAATTGTTCCACGACAAGCGACAGTCAGGCGCGCCGGGCAATTAATCGCCAGGGTGCACCGCCAGGCGTCATGCTGCAGGGACGGGTTGCTGGCAATCCGGCCGTGCGGCCCTGCCGCAGGCCGCTCCCAGTGGCCCACGGCCTCCGCCCCAGGAGCGCTCAGCACGGGCCCCTCACCAGGCAGCCCGGTAGCCTGATTCTGGGTGGGAGGAGGACGAACGTCCGCTTGCACGAGGTAAAACACAATTGGAGCCTCGCTACGGGCTGCCGCATCATCTGGTGTCACGCCGTCCGACCAGCGCCGCGGCGCTGCTGTGCGCGTGTGCGCGCTGCGCACGCTTCCATTCGCTCTGGCTATGGAGCGCGCCTTCTTAATTTATGTTCAGAGTGGACATATTACACCGGGTTACAAACTCTGCGAACGCCTTGCGAACTCTCTGCCATGCCTGGGTCCTGACTGATGACTGGTTGTGCCATGACGACTCTGCAACAGGCGGTGGCCACCGAGACGGTGGAGACTGAGGTGCTGCCCGCCACCAACGGCAACGGCGCGAGCGCCGCCCCTGACAGCAACGGCGTAACCGTGCAGTACGTGCCCGTACAGCTCAACGGCGCCGCCAGCAGCAACGGCAACGGCAACGGCCACGCCGCCACTAACGGCAACGGCGCCGCCGCCGCCAGCCTCAATGGCAACGGGGAGCCCGTCCCAGCCCCGGCTGCTGCTGCTAGCCTCAACGGCAATGGCAAGCCCGTCGCTGTTGCCGCCGTCGACACCGTGGTCGCCAGTGTTGATGTCAGCAGCACGCCCGCCGCGGCCGCCGCCGCCAGCCTGAACGGCAATGGCAAGCCCGCTGCTGCCATCGCCGCCGCCGTCGCGGTCGCCGCCCCTGCCGCCAAGGCCGCGCCCGCCCCCGCAGCTCGTGACAAGCTGCTCAACACGATCGACGAGGACCAGAACATGGAAGCTGCCGGGAAGCTGGAGCTGGCCGCGGTGACCGAGAGCGCCGCGGGGTCGGGGCAGCGGACAGCGGCGGGGACGCCCTATAAGAACCCGGGCGGGCGGTGGAGCAAGTTCAAGACCTACTCAGTGTGGCAGGTGGGCGTCGGCGCGCATCTAGGGCGGGACAAAGCGTGCTTTGGCGCGAGGCCAGCGCCCTGCAGCAGCTGGGGTCGACACGCGGTGATTGTGTGCTTTGTCGCGGGTGGCGCTCATGAGGGGCCAGTTGAGCTGGCCGGTTAGAGGGGAGCGCGCGTGCTGCTCGCCTTGAAAGGCGACATGTGCCCACGACGTGGGATAGCGGCGCAGGCAGGTCCCTCCCCCCTGCGGCCGGCGCCCCTGCTGCCTACCCACCCGCCGCTCCCCTCACCATCACTCCGCCCCTCCGCCGCGCCCACGGCCCGCGCTGCCGCGGACTGCAGCGCACGTGCGAGATCTGGGGGTTTGCGTTCGCGTTTGCGGTGAAGTACTTTCTGCTGGGCCAGGCCTGGACCTACAAGGGCGGCAAGAAGGGGATGACGGCAGAGGCCGTCAGCGCGCGCAAGAGCGAGCTGGCGGTGTGGCTGCGGGAGGGGCTGGTCAAGCTGGGGGTGAGTCAGCGCGTGGGCGGCTGCTACGCATCAACATGCAGGGGATAATCCTGCCCCACGGTCAAAGGGGGCCTCCGTGCCTGGAATACGCGCAGCCGACGCCGCTGCAGCTTGCAAACAGCGGAGCCGTTGCCGGCTGCAGCGCCCCCAAATTGACTGCCTGCCAAGGTCTCCGGGTTGCTGACCCCGGGATTGTCCTCGACGCGGCCGATCCCATCCCCCAGCCAACCTTCATCAAGATCGGGCAGCAGTTCAGCACGCGCGTGGACGTGCTGGCGCCGGAGTTTGTGCGGGAGCTGGAGAAGCTGCAGGTGGGGTGACTCAACGGGGGCAGAGGGGGGGCGGCTGCACCCTCGGGGGGCCCGCGGCTGCCGGACGGCGCTGTCGCGGCCGGAGCGGCGGCCCGTCCTGGGGGCAGCCGGCAGCTGGGGCAGTAGGTTGACGCAGGGGCGGCTCGGGGTCCCGCGAGCGGAGGGCGCGGTTGACGCGCCGCAGGCCGCGCTGTTCGCAGCGCGCACTGAACCGGAGGAAGCTCTGAGCGGCGCCCCCACCCCCGCCCCGCGCCCGACCACGCGCCGCCTCACCGCCCCCTCCCCGCGCCCGTGCCGCGCGTCAAATTCGCAGGACAACGTGCCGCCGTTTGACAGCGAGACGGCGCTCCAGATCCTGCAGACCAACCTGGGGGCGCCCCCGGACATGGTGTTCGCGGAGTTCAGCCCCACACCCATCGCAGCGGCCAGCCTCGGCCAGGTGCGGCGCGCGGGCGGTGGCGAAATCCAGCTGCGGCGCATTTTGGGCGCTGGTCCCCCGGATGTCGCCGTGGCGGTTGCCTGCTGAGTGTTCGTGGCGGCGGGATTCCGGCGGCACCTTGTTTTGCCTGGGTTCTGGGCCTCAGAAAGCTCGCAGATAGGGAGCAGCACGCAGGAGGCTGAGACCTGGACGCTGCTTGGAGCCCCGTTTACCAATATCTGAAAATGCACGCATTTGTGGCGAATGTGGCAGGTCCACCTGGCTAAGCTGGAGAGTGGGGAGCGGGTGGTGGTGAAGGTGCAGCGGCCGGGGCTCAAGGAGCTTTTTGACATTGACCTCAAGAACATTCGGTGAAGGGGGGGCGGGGGGCGGGGCCGCGTTGGGTGGTTGGTGAGGGAGAGGCAGCGAGGGGGAGAGAGGACGAGAAAGTTGAGGATAGACAGTGTGCGCGTGCGTGCGTGCGTGTGTGTGTGTGTGTGTGTGTGTGTGTGTTGGAGAGAGAGACACAGAGACAGAGACAGAGACAGAGACAGAGACAGAGACAGAGACAGAGACAGAGACAGAGACAGAGACAGAGACATAACACAACAAGTATGTGTTTGTGTAAGCGCGCTCGAGAGAGAGAGAGAGTGTGCGTGCACGTGCGTACGTGCGCACAGACCTCACCACAGCTTGATGGCAGTTCCCTGACACCGCCATGACGTCACTAGCATCAACGTCCGACCCCTGGCGTCGCAACCGCCGCCGCCGCCGCCGCGCAGGGCTTTGGCAGTGTGGCTGCAGAAGGCGGACCCGAAGACGGACGGCGCCGCGCGCGACTGGGTGGCGATCTACGACGAGTGCAGCCGCATCCTGTACCAGGAGGTGCGCGGGGGGCGAAGAGGGCGCACACTGGCGTGCGCTGTGCACTCGAGGGCGCGTGCACTGTCAGGTTGCGGGCTAGCCGCACCGTGAAGGCTGGGCAGGCAGCGGTTGTGTACAGCACGAATACGCCCTATTCAGCAGCTGCCCTGTTTGTGGCGTGTCTGATGAGTCCCTGCGCGCTGCCCTGCGTCCCCTGCGCGCTGGCCTCCGTCCCTCGCGATACGGCACACCGCTGGGATACCCTTTGACTGCAACTGTTTTCTGATGCCGCGACCGCCCAGATCGACTATACCCTGGAGGGCCGCAACGCCGACGAGTTCCGGAAGAACTTTGAGAAAGTGGACTGGGTCCGGGTGCGTAGGGCTGGACTGTGCGACGGGGTTTGTGCGCCAGGCTGGGCCGTGAAGGGTCGGCAAGGCAGGTTGCAGGCTGGCTGCGGAAATTCACGGTTCTGGCGCTCAAGTCAAGCCCACTCAACCTCAACCTACCAGCCAACCCCCCGATTTCCGCCTGATTACCCCCAGGTGCCCAAGGTGTACTGGCAGTACAGCTCCGCCGAGGTGCTGGTCCTGGAGTACGCCCCCGGGGTCAAGATCAACGACGGCACGTCCATTGACCGCATGGGGCTCGACAGGCAGCGGCTGGCGCGGCTGGCGGTGGAGTCGTACCTGCAGCAGATCCTGACCCACGGCTTCTTCCACGTAAGTGCAGCGGCCTGGCGTTTGACTTTGGTTGACCGCTCGTTTTGTTTCTTTGGGGGGGTGGGGGGCGGGCGCTGTGCCCATTTGGCGGGGCAGCTGTATGGGATGTGCCGCCGATTTCGCGTTCCATGGGAGTGTTGACATGAGCAAATCGGGTGCGGGGATGTGATAGTTGTGGGGAATCATCCGTTGGGCTACCAAGCCAGCCAGGCGCCCGACCTGGCTGCGGGCCGGCGCCGGCCGCGCCCTCGTCAGGCCCTTCAGCCGCTGCTCGGTCCCGCGCGCTGCGGGGTTGCTTCGGCTGGCAGCAGTCTGGAGCGCAGCCCATAGTAATGTGCAGCGTTCGGAGGGGGCCCTGCCGCCTGCATGCCGAGCAGGGGGATGTGCCGTGAGAATGCTGCGGCAAGTCCCGGCCCGCAGCTTGGCCGCAACCGTTTTCGGGCCGTCTCATTCGCATAGTTCCCGGCCCCCTTTTCTCCCCTCCTCCCCCGCCCACCCTCGCGCGTCTGTCGCATTTTTCCCGTGCCCCACCCCCCAGGCGGACCCACACCCCGGCAACGTGGCCGTGGACTCCACCGGCAAGCTCATCTACTACGATTTCGGTGAGACGACTGCACCTCCCCTCCCTCCTTTTCGCATCCCGTCATGTCCGGCTGTCCTTGCTGGGCCTTTGAACTCAGCTTAACGGCGGCTGGCACCTGCCCCCGTGACCAACCGCCCGGCGACAGTTTTTTTGCGACGGCCCGACCTCGGGACTGCAGCCTCCACTCCTTGGCGTTCCCCCAAACCTCTCGCATGCCCCCAACCCCTGGCCTCGGCGCCGCTCTCGCCTTGGTGGTGTCGCCCCCGGAACCCCCCCTCCCCCCCACACCTGTCTCTCCCCCCCGCCGTCCTCCCGTCCATGCCTAAAACCTAAACCCATGCCACCGCAGGCATGATGGGCCGCATCCCCGGTGACGTGCGTGGCGGCCTGATGGAGCTGTTTTACGGGGTGTACAACAAGGACGCCGACAGGTGCCTCGAGGCCCTCGTCACCATGGGCGTGCTGGTGAGCTGCACGTGCTTCCCCGCTTGCTTTCGAGAACATTCTGATGGAACACTTGGAACCTTTGCCGCAACCACAGCTTGAAGAGTGCTGAACCGTATGCCTCATGTCACTTTTTGTCAAGCCGGTCGGGGTAGCGCGCCGGCGACCGGCGGGCGGGCCGCGGGCGCCGCAGCCGCGCAGGTTTTTCTCGTGGGGGCAGACCCACGCGC